TTGTGGCAAAGCGTACGGTTGAGATTTTCATTTATTCGGTTCTGATGGTATCGAAGCTCATCAACTGTTACTGAAGCTTTTCCATTTCTGTTTTACTTTAGGATTTCCTGATCATACATAACGAAATCTGATTATTGACTGCATATTCCTTGGGTTTATATCAAAAGATGAGAAGTGTTCATTGCGTATTTTGTCTTTGCATGCCAGGGCGTGAAACAGATTTGCACGTTGCTAAACTCATGTCCTTCTATCATGCCATGCGATTCAGGCTCTGAGTACTCGACATGACCGTTGAGGATCGCTGACAAGTGATCCATAATTTTGATGTTAAGCAGTCTTTAGTTTTTATCAGTCGAAATTGTGTCGCACTTGTCATTTTGTTTTACAAATTCAGCGTAGATTCATAAACTCTTACCCAAATCAGGTACCAATTCAGTCTTAATTCGCTTGAAAAATTCAACCGAATTAAACACTTAACTTCCATTGTTAACGGTATTCATTTCTGTATATTGCAAGATGCAAAATGGATGCCCTGGGGGCATTGAGTTCTACAGTCTTTCAGCAGAGAATTCGACCTTTTATCGGCAGGACTACCTTACATTTACTGCCGCCTCGTTGACCTTCAGCGTTTAATGGCAGATAGTGCGTTACGGCGTAATTCATTGTTGTATTGTATTTTTCCTGAAGGGAGAAACGTAGTTTTTCGCTTCCTGATGCAAACTTTGTTCCTTCCTCTATATGCGTGTTGTTCGCCTTCAGTTTAAGAGCGGTTACAAATTTAGACCTCCGCGTACGTGTCTATCGGCATGGGTATCGTTCTGACGATCGCCTTCCACATATTTGTGCCCGATAAATCGTCCGGCATGTACCTTCATAAACAGACGATGAAGCGGGCGATGGCCATCAGCAGCGTCGAGGCTGTCGCCAACGGTGCCGTCACCCAGATTTCAACGACCACCACTGACAGTAAAGTGCAGCCGAATTCAGTCAAAGCGATGACCTGGCGGTCGTGGTTAAAAGAGCCGCAGTTCTACGAGGTTGGCGCCATCTACATGTGCGTTCGCTTGTTCAACAACGTTTTCATGGCCTACATCCCGTTGTACATTCTCGACACCCAGATGCTTGGCAAAGTACGTGGTTTAATGCTGCGTGGTCTAATATAGTATCCGTTGAAAACCACCGTGTTATTTTCTTTCAGACGATTTGTTACTATCACCATTGGTAATGTATTTTATTTCACACTTGTGTATGCTGGTTTTCATCTTTCGTCTTTAAGAATAGTGCATCATGTAGTAGTGAACCATTAATTGCGTCGACCTTTTGCACTGCTCTTTGCTTATTCGAACGATATCTTCAGATGTCAAGAAAACGGTTGTATGATATGCTTGTTCAGGATTCTCAGTGGACGATTAAAACTAACATTTGGCTCCTAAGTTTGGCTAGGAGGTGGTTGTCAACCGTGCGCATTCATTTCGCTGTATGGAGCTTCAGGATAGTGGCTGCGAGGAACCATTGCGAGTCTGTTCAATGTACTGAGGAAGCCCGTCATTACGGACTGGATATTTTTTATTACCCGATGGCCGATAGTCGATATGAATAAATAGGTTCAATCCGCATCTCTACTCTCATTACTTATAAACCACTGCTCCCTACCGATTTTTTCTTATTTGCACTTTCATTGCTGTCTTGTTAATGTTGTATTCAGTTCATACATTTATTAGTTTGATAGTCCATAGTCACCCTCGAACTCAACTTACTTTCTTACATATTTTATTGTCATATGCTACCATTGTTTTAGTATGCTAGCAGCTTCCTAATGTTATATCAGTACTAGTGAGTATCCGCTATACTATGATGACGGTATGTATAGTTACTAATAATGTACTTTTATATAATGAGTATACCTCCAGTATAAAACGGTAGTACTGCACGACAGCTACAGTTACTTTGCTGCTAGTCATGTTAGTAGTGTAATGATATAGCATTTATGCACTATCAGCACAGTGTAAATCTGTTGCATTATTATACACTAGCGCTATACTACGATTATGCCTGCTGTAATGGTACGGTAGCATACGACCAGAATATCATATCTGTGGTATAATATATATGGCTATGATATAGTATGCTATATTGCAACAATGTATTGATAAAATATTACTGCGATTGCACATCACTAATTTAATGGAGTAAAGTAGTGGATTGTGAGTGTAATGCTACTATGTAATACTATCAGTGCTACAATATAGCACGGTTGTTGATCTAATAGTACTCTATTATATGACACCACTGTCAGACTATGCTGGTAGCGTTCTACCATATTAGCATAGTTTACGGTACGGCATTGTTACAGTAGTGCATTATACTACAATTCTGCCGTACCGTACTACATTCGTAGTACTACATTCTCAGCATACTCTGCCGTGCTGATAGTGTACTATACTTGTTATTATACAGTACAGCAGAGTTGTAATCTGATAACCTACTACTATAGTACAATTATACCGTACTGTACAAGTACAGCAGTTCCCTGCCAGCATATTGTAGCCTACCTATGGTCTAACATTTACGCTCGTAGCGAATTTCTGTATTGCTACTGCATGGCATAGCTGCGGTGTACTAATGCAGTTTTATCCTGCATTTGTGTCGTACTGTCCCAGCATAGTAGTTACACATCTTTAGCATACTATGTCGTAGTTGTTGCTATAGTGCTTCTGTATTATACTACATCTATGCCATAGTATGCTGATAGTGTGCTATTGCTACCTAGTACAGTGCGGCATACCATGGCGCAGTTATTGGTATAACATGATTGTATTACGCAACAGTTATGATATGATATGCTGGTAGCGTACTACTATCATAATAGTACATTCCGCGGTATACTACAGCCTAGTTATACGTATAATATTACTGTATTGTACTACAATTATTCCATAATATGCTGCTACTGCACTGCTACTACGCTAGTTAGTACGTCACAGTTGTGGTGTAATGCACTAATGTTAAGCTACGACTATACTATTATGGTACTAGTACATTACCAGCATGCCATAATTTATTTGCTTCATAATACAGTAGTATCATCTGCATCTGTTCCATACAATATTACTGATCTATATTTGAGTAGTTTTGCACTGCTATGCTCTGTTAAATTAATAGTATGGCATGCTCTGCGGTAGTATTAATAGTATTTTAGCAATATGCAACGTAAAACGGTTATATTATACAAATTAAATGATTTTCAATTATGAAATAGGATTATGCATGTCCATTAATTGGTTTAGGTTAATAGACTGCCAAGAACTTTGCATTTTTTAATGATCCCTGATTTAGGTATCCTGTCAGACACTTCAACTCTTTCAAAACGTTAAATTGATCTTCTGGAAGGTGCTGGATATTACTCGTTAATGTTATGTTATTTGATAACCATGTATGAACCTCAGACGTTGTTGTCTCTAATTATAAGTTAACATTTTCTTATCTAATTCACATAAGTTTATGTGCTTAGTTGTCTGACCGATCAAAACACTGTTTCACTGCCTAACGGAGAACCGGCAATTTGACTGACTGATCGTCGACTAGCTTATTTCTTCAACGATTGACCTTGTAATCGAAGATTTCTAATAAACTTCGCAAATTATTCTTGAAAATGAATCTTCTTTGTTTCAACTCTAAATCTGATGAATGTTTTCCAAATTTTAGGAATTCATAGCACTGGTGCCTATGGTCGTATATCTGGCTAGTTTTGTACTGTCGACCGTTTTTAGCAGCCAGCGAGTTACTGGCATTTGTCAAAGGAAGGTACTTGTTTTTCCGTAGCGTGTATGTTGTATGCATTTTCTCACTACTATCCCAGTATCCGCTGTTGGTTATTATATAATAGTAGGAATGCACAGGCAGCTGATTTGGAGCTGATGCTCATTTTGAGGATCTGCTTAACTTTTATACACAATTGTGTTGTTGCTGTTAGGTCACTGGGCGAGTCTAGTTGCCGCTAAGCGTGAAATCCAGTTTCATCAGTAAGAACTTCAGGGTCTGACCTAAGTTAGAGATATCGTCCACCCGTTTGATTTAGATGAGTTTGCTAACGAAGAATCTCTTAAATGGAAATCGAGGAAGCAGTACAGGGTTTTTCAACAATTCAGCAAGCCATCGTTCGATTAAATTTTGGGATATGTGATACTCCAGTATGCCTCGGATACGGGCAAGTGAATCAGTTAGAAGACCCGATTATCCATACAAGTCGTTTTCTCGCTTAAGAACGTAATTTAGCATAAAATATTTCTTTTCGTGAACTTTACAATTTATGATTTGCGATTATGCATAAGGAGTAAAGAAGTTACTGAACTGCATCATTCGTTTATCCTCTCTGTTTCTTGTCAGCCAGTCGAATGTATGCCCTAAAGTTTGAACTTGTTAATGTTACTAGTATGGGTTAGGGGGAAAACATGTTCACATTTAAGGTGAAACTTTCTTCTGAGATTTTCATATAGCTCCTTAATCATTCTGACTATCAGCATCCACTGTCGATATCGTTTCCGTACAACTTTATCTGACATGTCATAATTTCATCATGCCATCTTTGCCTCCTCCGTTCATAACGGGTTGCGGCTCCGTTGCTGACTGGTATCTTCATGACCTTTCGCTGCAGATCTTCGGCAGCGATCACCCTGCTGTTACACACTTAGCTGCCAGAATGCGCGAAGCAGGTCATAACTGCTGGCTCTTCGCTGTCTGCCTCCGTTTCTCAACATCCCCTGAGGATCCGGGCGTCAACCAGTTGTTATAGCATTAGATAGCGGCAGGAGCATGAAAGGCGTGGATATGTTTTACGGAAGACTTCAGCCCGGTCCCAAACCGTCATTTTTTCTCATCCGGATTTGGGACTGGCAGTTGCGGAGTTTTTCGGCATCTACATTTCATGAACCCTTAAATTGTGTTGTTTGAGTTAGTTATGAAAGTGTTCGTTATTTCAATGACTCGGTGAAATTAGTTAATGCTTAGTTCTAAGGAACGTGCTTTTCGTCTAAGGAACTTTTGCGCACGTTGCGGAGAGCGACAAAAAAGCGTCATTGATCGCATGTAGTACGCCGTTGATTCCCCGTGGCTTCTAAGATAGCTATGAGGGTTTGTCGTATATAGAAGAAATCAACGCTGACTCCTGAGTACCAGAGTCTCGTTGCTTGCTACATGCTTGTAAGGAAAATTTGACTCCAGCCGTGAGATGATCGAGGTGAAAACAGGAGCGAGTCGAATGCATGAGAAGTTTATGCGATCACCGTACTGTTTACGTTTTGCGTGGAAGAAAAGT